TTATTAAGTCTTTTTATTGTTTTTGCCTTTTTTTTTTTTTTTTTTTTTCTTCTAACACCTTGTACATTTTTACATTTGTGCCCCTGATTTACTCATTGTTTTTCTCCAGGTGTGTATCACATGTTCCTTTTGACAAATGGAGGCCTCAGTTGTATAATGTACTTTCATCTCGCAAGGATAAATGATGGTATGCTAAAGCTGTAAACTCCTTCTTTATGTAGTTTAGCAGCTTTTTGATACTGTAGCTGTGGCAATGTACAACCTGTTCCAACTTGCAAATCAAATGTATGGAAACCTGCCATGAGAGAAATGCCTAGGTTATTATTCCTGATGAATTCAATGACTTGTGTGAAGATCAGGAGTTTTGACAGGCTTGCTGTCTACTTGTCTGGGGATGGTGACTTAGACACTATAGAAACCAGTGGACTAGCCAAGGTAGCCAAGCAATTTATTTATTTTTTTGTTAGAGAAAAGGGTCTGCAAAGACAGACTTCCTTTTAAAGTAATATTAAAGTCAGAAGGTTGCTCCTTGATTTTTTTAAAGTTTTAGCTTCCTGCAGGATTAACTTATCCTTTTGATTTTGTACTCAACAGGACGTTCAGGGAAGCTGAGCTGGCAGAGTTGGAGTCAACTGTTGAGAAGCAACAGTCTTTGCTTCATGGGCTTTTTGGCATCAGACAACTTGTTTTGCAAGGTTGCCACCTGCTCTTCTGTTGACACGTTTTCTAAGTTTTACCAAGTGCATTCAGACCTCCTCTGATGTAATTTTTGACAATAGGGGCCCTTTAGGCAGCTTTTGAGTTGCAAGCAGCCCTCAGTTCTAGGGATGCACAGATACCAGTGCCGATTCTTGGCATTTTCACAAAAACTACCAGGCTTGCAGCTGCAACAGGGCCCTGGCACTCCACCACTGTCCTGAAATTATTAGCCTTTAATGGTTTTAGAAAAACTGCCACATGACACTAAAAAAAAATAATGTATCCGTAATTGGTATGTGAGTACTTGGACAAATATTGGTACTTTTTATAGTCTGGAAAAAATGGTATCGGTGCATCCCTAATAATATGTAATATACATTAAAACAGGGATGCTCAAATCCCAGGAGCCCCGTAGCCAATGCTCCTTAAAAATGACAGCTGCCTCCTAACCTTTGAGTTTTTCTCTAGTCTAGTCTTGGAGCTGGAAAAGTATCTGTACTTTTACTTGTACCAAGTTTATTATTATACAGGATTTATATAGCGCCAACAATTTGCTCAGCGCTTTACAAAATAGTGGAGACAGTACAGTTACAATACAATTTACAATACAATACAGTTTCAGAACAATAGGGTTCGGAGGGCCCTGCTCGTGAGAGCTTACAATCTAGTAGGAGGGGCAAGTGATACAAAAGGTAATCATTGTTTGGATTGAGTTATTGGAGGAAGTAAAACCCAGTTTTATGTTGAGATGAGGTAGGCTTTCCTATAGAGATGGGTTTTTAAGGATCGCCTAAAGGTGGGCAGCGTAGGAGATAGGCAGACAGATTGGGGTAAGGAGTTCCAGAGGATGGGTGACACTCTGGAGCAGTCCCGGAGGCAAGTATGGGAGGAGGTAATGAGAGCTAGAGAGCAGGAGGAACGGAGAGGACGGTTTGGGTGATATTTTGAGATGAAATCGGTGATGTACGTTGGGGCGGAGTATGAGACCTTACATCCCTACTCTGTTCTGTTGTGTGAGCCTGTTAGTGTTCTGTTGTTTCCCACCCCTCAGTTGGGCATTGCAATAGCCTCTGAATACTGTGCCCCTCAATGGACGAGGAAGAAAACTGGATTTTTGTACTTACTATAAGATCAATTTCTTGGAGGCACACTATCTATGATCTTGCTTTTGGATGCTGCTTGGCTTGGGAGGAATTATACTGGGCTTGTCACTGTTTTTTGTTTACCAGTATCAACATTCCCCTGCATTCAGCAGTATAACCTTCTCTGAATACTGTGTCCCCCAAATAAATTAATTTTAAGAAAAGTCCAAAAAGTAATTTAATCTTAGTTCTGAGTGGAGTAGGGAAGGGTTAGACCCTATATCAAGAGTTTATTGCTGTTTTTCTCCCCACTGGGGATAATCACCTTTTTTGTTGTTGTTGTTGCCCTGGTGATCACTGTTAGACAGAAAGTGATGGGAAAGAGTTATAACCAGAGATGAGGGTAAATCATCCAAGGACACCTCCTGTGACAATTTTCTAACATGGGAACTCCCCTCACTTTAGAGAATTTTACTTCGGTCAGGATGGAAAGATATAAATCTCTGCAGCAGAACACACAGACAAACAAAAACAAAACTTGATTAAGAATTTTAACCCTTACTTTATCCAAATGTACTACTATATCGCCAATAACATATTATTCCATTTACATACACTTTAATGAAATTTGTATATTTAAAATATTTATTGTATATTGGGTTAGGATATATTTTAATATAACCTCTTGATCATATAGTACAGGACACAGGCAGATTCAGAGACAAATGGGTAATATGCAGGTATCATCAGGCGATTGGACACTGGCCAAAGCAGTGATGACACTCAGTTCCTTCCACTCCCAGAAATTCCTGGTTTTTGTTATTGTCCTTAGGTGATGGTGATTGTCCTTACTGTTACTGTTCACTCTCTGCTAAGTGAACATATTTCTATTTTAACTTGCCATTTTCTTTCTTGTAATGCTTCAATCAAGTACCTGCTCCATCCATTGGGGCGACTTTACAACCTCTGGAACACTATCCTATGGCAACAGCTTTGACATCCATTCCCTCTGCTAGATGGATGACACAGGGACTTCACATGCTGCAGTGTGTTGGGTGAGCCGCAGGGTGCCATAAGTCTAAAGCAGTGGCATATCTGCACTGGTGTGACCCTGTCCCTGAAGCCCCTTCAGGGTATGCTCGTCCGAAGAGTGAAGCCTAGGGTTGTTCACCGGCTGGTGAGACTGAGCCCGTGATCCCTGGTCTCTGCGCAGGCAGTTTGTTTGGCACTTATGGACTGGCAGGTCTTCCCCGCTGGCAACTGTGCAGTTTGTCCATCGACTTTTTGCACATTGAAAGATACCGTATTTGTCGGCATATAAGACGAGTTTTTAGATCTAAAAACATCCCCCGAAAATCGGGGGTCGTCTTATACACCGGGTATGTGTGCTGAATGTGCGGTAATACTGTATGTACGGTAGCTTCGGCTACATACTGTATACAGCGCTGAGCCAATCACGGCGAGCGATTGTATTCTATTAATGAATACAAAGCCTGCTCGGATTGGCAGAGGTGTACATTGCTCGCCGTGATTGGCTCAGCGCGGTATACTGCATGTAGCCGAAGCCTCCGTACATACAGTATTACCGCACATCCAGCGGGCTGACAGATTAGCCTCTGGCGGTCTGATTTTTTTTTTTTACTTTTAAAATTCCCGCTGGTTCCGCCCCCTTGCGGCGCTCGCAAGGGACGGAGGACACAGCGGGGATCGTGGACAAGGTAAGAGACTGTAATCCCGAGTGTGGCTTGGGGTTACCGCTTATGGTACTGAAAATTAACCCCGAGCCACACTCGGGAATACCGCCATGGAGGTTAGTGGGTGTATTTAAACATTATTTTGGGCTATACTCGTCTTATATGACGAGTATAGCTCAAAACCTATGTTTTAACACAAAAATGAGGGGGTCGTCTTATACGCCCAGTCGCCTTATACGGCTGCAAATACGGTACTTGTGCAACCTTCTGCTAAAGAGCTGGTCTGAACAGACACTGCCGGCCAATGTCCAAAGAATGATTCAGACGCTGCAGTGTTTCAGATCCTCAACCTTCAGAAGTTGATGTGGGATCCCACTAACTGTTTGGAGTACTATCACCTTTTTTGTTGTTGTTGTTGCCCTGGTGATCACTGTTAGACAGAAAGTGATGGGAAAGAGTTATAACCAGAGATGAGGGTAAATCATCCAAGGACACCTCCTGTGACAATTTTCTAACATGGGAACTCCCCTCACTTTAGAGAATTTTACTTCGGTCAGGATGGAAAGATATAAATCTCTGCAGCAGAACACACAGACAAACAAAAACAAAACTTGATTAAGAATTTTAACCCTTACTTTATCCAAATGTACTACTATATCGCCAATAACATATTATTCCATTTACATACACTTTAATGAAATTTGTATATTTAAAATATTTATTGTATATTGGGTTAGGATATATTTTAATATAACCTCTTGATCATATAGTACAGGACACAGGCAGATTCAGAGACAAATGGGTAATATGCAGGTATCATCAGGCGATTGGACACTGGCCAAAGCAGTGATGACACTCAGTTCCTTCCACTCCCAGAAATTCCTGGTTTTTGTTATTGTCCTTAGGTGATGGTGATTGTCCTTACTGTTACTGTTCACTCTCTGCTAAGTGAACATATTTCTATTTTAACTTGCCATTTTCTTTCTTGTAATGCTTCAATCAAGTACCTGCTCCATCCATTGGGGCGACTTTACAACCTCTGGAACACTATCCTATGGCAACAGCTTTGACATCCATTCCCTCTGCTAGATGGATGACACAGGGACTTCACATGCTGCAGTGTGTTGGGTGAGCCGCAGGGTGCCATAAGTCTAAAGCAGTGGCATATCTGCACTGGTGTGACCCTGTCCCTGAAGCCCCTTCAGGGTATGCTCGTCCGAAGAGTGAAGCCTAGGGTTGTTCACCGGCTGGTGAGACTGAGCCCGTGATCCCTGGTCTCTGCGCAGGCAGTTTGTTTGGCACTTATGGACTGGCAGGTCTTCCCCGCTGGCAACTGTGCAGTTTGTCCATCGACTTTTTGCACATTGAAAGATACCGTATTTGTCGGCATATAAGACGAGTTTTTAGATCTAAAAACATCCCCCGAAAATCGGGGGTCGTCTTATACACCGGGTATGTGTGCTGAATGTGCGGTAATACTGTATGTACGGTAGCTTCGGCTACATACTGTATACAGCGCTGAGCCAATCACGGCGAGCGATTGTATTCTATTAATGAATACAAAGCCTGCTCGGATTGGCAGAGGTGTACATTGCTCGCCGTGATTGGCTCAGCGCGGTATACTGCATGTAGCCGAAGCCTCCGTACATACAGTATTACCGCACATCCAGCGGGCTGACAGATTAGCCTCTGGCGGTCTGATTTTTTTTTTTTACTTTTAAAATTCCCGCTGGTTCCGCCCCCTTGCGGCGCTCGCAAGGGACGGAGGACACAGCGGGGATCGTGGACAAGGTAAGAGACTGTAATCCCGAGTGTGGCTTGGGGTTACCGCTTATGGTACTGAAAATTAACCCCGAGCCACACTCGGGAATACCGCCATGGAGGTTAGTGGGTGTATTTAAACATTATTTTGGGCTATACTCGTCTTATATGACGAGTATAGCTCAAAACCTATGTTTTAACACAAAAATGAGGGGGTCGTCTTATACGCCCAGTCGCCTTATACGGCTGCAAATACGGTACTTGTGCAACCTTCTGCTAAAGAGCTGGTCTGAACAGACACTGCCGGCCAATGTCCAAAGAATGATTCAGACGCTGCAGTGTTTCAGATCCTCAACCTTCAGAAGTTGATGTGGGATCCCACTAACTGTTTGGAGTACCTAGGTCTTCTACTGTATACGGTCCAGGCCTGGTTGTTTTTGTAACCCCAGCGATTGCCAGGTGGACTTTCTTTTTTCGGTAGCAGTTGGAGTCAATGGAATGGTCACAACATTCCAAAGTATTTTAGATTTGCTGTGGGATGCTGGACGACGTTCTCCTTGTGTCCAGACAAACTGTTCAGGTTTGTATCCCTGTCCATAGGCCTTTGAGAGGATAGTCTGTTGACCTTTATGGGATCTATTTTTCTAGATTCCCAATAACTTTCAGTCCTCCCTTGAAGTCCCTTCTTCATCTACTTTGCAGGATCAAGCTGGAGGGCATTCCAGTGTTCCTCGTGACTCCCAACTGGAATTTGGTAAGTGAACATCCTTGCCTTTGAACCTAAATCAGACATCTCTCACTAGTGGATCTTATGCGTAAGCTTGTTTTCCTTATTGCCATCACCTCTTTTAGAAGGGTTTCAGAGTTGGCAGCATAGCCATGCAAGGAAACATTCCTTTTTCTTCAAAGGATAAGGTTGTTCTCAGACCTAGATATTTTTTTCTGCCAAAGTTGGTGTCCACACCTAATCTTAATCAGGACATTTTCTTTTTGCTCTGCCTGGGGAGTTTTCCTCCACTGTTTGGGTGTGGTTTGTGCTGTCTGAGTTTACCTTTTGGTTACAGCTTCCTTCAGGCAATCTGATTGCTTCTTTGTCCTTCCTGAACGATATCCAAGGGGCTCCCTGTGCCTCGTTTGACCATTTCTCTCTGTGGATTCAGCAGATCGTTGTGTATGTCTATTCTGGTACAAGTAAGACTATACCTCTTCCTGTGAAGGCACACTATTAGGTCTGTAAGTGCCTCTTAGGCTTTTCAGCATCAAGCACCTGGACTGGTTGTCCAGTCACCTGATGATACCTGCATATATCTAGTTGTCTCTGAATTTGTCCAAGAAACAGGTTTTACTAGCAAGTAAGAAATCTTATTTGTTTTTATTCATAAAATGGCTAATTTCTGAATGCATAGTTAGTGTAATTCTTGTGCACTAAATATATCGCCAATGAATTTGCTAAACTAATTACTTTTTTACAGCTGTGGAGAATATGGACTTCACTTCTGCAAAGGAGGTAATTGTTTTTGACACGTTTCAACAATTTTTTTGATCTTTCTTTTAAAGTCTGTATTGTTTATTGTCATGCTTGTTTTTCCAACAGTTGGAAGGGAAGCTCAAGACTTCTTTCACATCTACAGAAAAATATCACACTGAAGGTTGTTTGAATTTGGTGATTGGGGATTTTTCAAGTGATACTCATCTGATTGTTGGGGTAAGGAAGTTAGTAACACACTTTACTGATCCTTTAATTTAACTTTTAAAAACAGATTCCCCATAGCTCTTACCTGTAAAGCTGGCCATACACTACTGTTTCCCGCTGAATCAAAATGTGAACTGTGGGTGGCCCTGTTGGCTTCAAATCTACTTTTGTTGAAGAGGTCAGGTGGAAAATTGTCAGCTAAGTAGTGACTACAGACAATCTGATGCAAGCGCCAGCTATTAGAATACAGTATCCGACAGGGGAGAGTTAAAGAGCGTGTATGAGTGAATCTGGTGACTCCCTCACATCCATGTCCATTCAGTTTTTTTCCTCCATAGCAGGAACTTACTGAACCCGTGTTTGGTCTGTTACAATCAGGTCTGCCAAAACAGAACTTTTTTTTCCTGACCTAGATGGAGAAATTGGATGTAAATGGACGCAGGTCTGTGTAGATCCGGCTGCCCATAGTTACATTGGGCTTCCGATCAGGTCTGCCTGAAAATCTGACAGGTGGATCTGATTGGACTGCCCATGTGAAAGGGGCCTTACACACTTTCTTCTTCTTTTTAAAAAGGGCACTTCACTTCCACTTTAAGTCTTACAGTTGCTTTCCTTAAATTTCTTTCTTTTTTCTACATTCTTTGTGCTTTTGTATACTCTTCCCACATGCATTCCTCCCTTGTAAATGGTTTTATTCTCCTGGGGTTTTTTTTTTTTTTAACCCTAGTCACAATATCTTAAACATGTCTTGTTGTCACCCCCTTTGGTGAATGGCTTGTGATGTTTGCTGCTTTATGTGAACAAAGTACAAGGTTATCCCTATCCCGGGTGTGCTGGTGAAGGTCCTTATTTTCCTCGAATTATATGGAGGCACTATCCAGCAATTTTCTACATCACCCTGCATGAACAGTGGGCATGACTGTAAGGTGTGCAAAGGATACAATTCAACTTTTTTGATGTCATCAATATAATTTTCTATTTTTGTTACCTGTTTCTTTGGGCTTTAAATTAAAAAAAAAAGTACTTAATTCAGTGCTGTCTGGTCCCTTTTCCAAGGCAGCATCCCTTGTACCCAAAATCGAGGAGCGCTCTGGTATGCACATTTTGACACATATTCCTGGTTGATAGCCTCTTAATCCTCTGTATTTGCCTATCGCTGTGATGGGATTCTCATACATGCAGCAAGGCTTGGGAGGTTAAATGGGGCGGAACATTTTTTTTTTCCTCTAACCTTGCAGTGTGTACTAGTGTTTGGGCACCCAGGTTTATTGACACATTACATGTTATATACTAACAGTAGTGGATTAGGTCCTTTTTATTTATATCTATGATTCTCTTTAATAATAAGACAGTGTTAGTAGGAATGTACTCAAAATTGCTGGTGGTGTGCTTCTGATGAATTTGCTTTATAGACCCCATCATTACGTAAGACGAGGTACTATTATCTTAGGCAATCTCATCAAATGTTTAATAGAAAATTCACATGAAAAGGTTAATGTTTGATTTTGTTTGGGTTCACTCCAGGGAAGAGGTGAATATGCTCTCTCAAAATGGAAGATGGACACAGTGAAAAAACACATTGCTATTCAAATTCTTGCTGATTCAAGTATGATCCAAGGTAACATTACATCCACTAATTGTCATTACTTTTTAATAAGTCATTTTTTTTATTTAGACATAAAAGCTGCATTGTTTTTATATTTGTCTTTGTTGTTAAGGTGCAAAGAAACTACAGATTTTGGACAACTTGCTGTTTATTCTGGATGAACATGTAAGTGTGCAAGCTTTTAATTGTATTAAAGTGAATTTGGGCTAGAGAGCTAGTGAAGAAGGGAAGAGGTAGGACATTTTTAAATGGTAACATTTCCCGTATAGTCCATAGCAAACAATAAAGAGGAGGGCTATGCTATGTGACCAGCTTGCAAGTCCAGAAAAACAGGAGTTTGCATCCCCATGCAAAATGGCCTGCCGGCTACATTGACTTCTGTAGCAGATACCATATACATAGCCTAATTACTAAACTGAGTAACCTCTATCCAGTAAGTCCTGCTAGGTACTCAAAATGGTGAGCTACAGAGACTGCTCTGGACCTATAACTCAATACCTGGCCAGAATTCTCCTGTAGCTGTGGGTAAAATTCCAGAAATTCGAGTAAGTAATATTCGACGAATGGTAATACAACATATTTCACTTTCAGGGCATTCTGAGTGTATGGGACGTATACACTCTGGTTTTGATATGGGATTGGCCTTCCTGTCGCATATCAGACTTTCTTTTAACATCTGAAGGAGATTCATCATCTTCAGTTACACGGTACTTCTAAAACATGTTGTACTAATTGAATTTACTTGTCTCATGTGAAATGCATTACTATTACAAAATATATGTGCTGTCTCTTCTTGCAGGCAAACCAACACTAACCTTAAGCTTATAATTTTAACACTTCCTGATGATAAACCGGTAAGTGCTGCATTTTAGACATTACATTAAGTATCTGTATCGGCACTGATACTAGTATCGGTGCACCCCTAATCAAAACATATTTTACTTCTCACTGGTCAGCGCAGTCATCTGACCACGTTGACCAATGAGTGCTTGCACTTTGCGAGCAAAATTAAAAATGCATAGGGGAGGACTGCGCTGGACAGCAGTACGGGGGACAGATAGTACACCCATACTGGCGGAGGGGAGGGATTGTTCGCCGAAAGGTAAGTATAGCCAGGGGGGTGGCGGTTTGGGAGAGACGGGGCCAGATTTCATCGGGTAATTTAAATTTTTTCATATTACCTGGGAAAATTAACTTACCCTTTAATGCACATTGTGTGTGTGTAAGATGTCCTCCAATGAATGCAGAGACAGTGTTTTACAATAAATCCAATTTTTTTTTCTAAAGAAAACTCGCTTTGCAGCTGGAATTTTTTTTTTTAGATAATTTAAACTGAAATTTTAGTTGGGATTTACATATTTTGTATAGAAGTTTGTTGAGATATGGTAAACCTGTTTCAGTTGATTGCAGTTCACTTCCCTATGTGCTTTTTGTTAACAGTTGAGAAACCTGGCAGTTTATTCGTTGCCCACCATGCACCATTTATATTCAATTGAAGTATCAGATGTTTCCAGTCTTGTTCAAATTGGCATTACAATGGTGAGCTTAATAATGTTTATTCTTTCATCCTAAAGATTAATGTTTGTAAATGTTCTGAGGTTGAGAATGACCTCACTGGGACACATTTGAATCTATGGAAAGGTAGAGGATTTCTATTTTGTTCGTTTTTTTGCACCAAAGCACAGATCGATTTAAATTATGTCTCGCTTATTAGAAGATTATCATTTTCCTGAAACGGTGTTCCAGATTTAGATTTGTATACACATGCTGACATATATATCTGAAGCAAAGTCCTTCCTTCTCTTTTAGGACACAATATATCTTCTAGAGGGAATATATGATAATCACGAGAGGTATGTTGTTTCCTTACAAGGAAAACGCTGGATATGTGTATTTTTTGGGGGGTTTTGTTATCATTTTTAAAAATTGTATTTTCAGGTCATCTGAGTGTCTGGTCAGCGTGCTTGCACTGAGATGTCTAACGGAAGCTTTACCAGAAAACAGGTATATACTGTATGTAAATGGCTACAGAGGTTACAGAGATGTATGGAGCTTTTCTTACTTATCTGTTCATTCCTTTTTCCAGGTTGAGTCGATTACTTCACAAGCTTAAATTTGAGGAAGCGGAAAAGTTTGCTATACAGTTTGGACTGGATGTTGAGGTATATTCTCAGCAATTGCTTTAGGTTATACAATGGTTGAAATAAACTATAATGCTTGTGGGCATATTTATAAAGCAGTGACTGTGACATTCACTGAAGGTGAATCTTCCAGTTGCATGAGTTTAAAAAGCAGTGAATCACCTCCAGAAACTGTTTGGTAAACATTCAGCTGCTTTGTAAATATACCTCTTAATTTTAAAGTCATTTCATTAAATAGATATTAATGTGGCAGCAGTTTGTTGGAATGTGAAAGTAAAACAGATTCTCCTTTTGAGCAGCTTGTGTATAAAGTAAAAGTCAACACTGTACTGGAAAAAATGGCATCCGCATCCACTGGAGGCTATGGACAGTCCCTGTGGCAGGAGCTTGTGAATGAAGCCAAAGACAGTTTGGTTAAAATAAAGGTATGGCGGGCGTAGTCTGTATATTTTAGCTTCACGTCTGCCTTACCATTTTAATTAACGTGTTTATTTTTGCATACAGGATGACAATTTTGTGGCCGAGTACTGTGTTAATGCCCCCTGGCCTACCTATGAAGCAGCCTTTGATATGTTGAGTTATGCAAAAACCAGGGTAAGACATGGTTTTTCTTCATTTATAGTTGCAAGTTGTTGATGTTCATGTGAAAAATCTAGACATTGTATTGAATTTGAAGCATTTGTTGATTGGCCTAATTGTTGCTCAGTCAGATTTGGCTGGTTACACATGGCTCTTTACTTTATTGAATTTGTATGTTTTATGATGATTTGGGATTATTTGTTTTTTAACTCTTTTTGGCGCATGTTGAGTAAAAACAGATTTACTTATGAGTTAAAGAAGGCTTCTCCCCTAATACTAATATACTAAAAAAATTTAATACGTATGTGCCAGAAAATTAGACTGTTTATTCCTTTTGTCAAAGTTCTCATGAATGCCACAGGTTATAAGTATTAAACTTAGAAAGATATTAAGATATCTTTCTAGTACTCTAGAAAGATATAAAAACATATAGGGCTCAATTCACTAAGTGTTAAACATCGCATGAAGTTTTGAGGTAAAATAACCTGTGTGTTATTTTACACTTGAGTGTGCAATTCACTCAAATCTATGAGTTATTTACCGAATGAGATACCGCTTTGAAACATGTATGATCTGCAGCATACTCTATCACTTTTCTGTTGCCACACAAAGATGCACAATTGAGTGCAATTGTTTTAATTTGATATTTCCTAATAAATGGAACTATAACCTATTGTATACCAGTTAGGGGATACTGAAGGGGTACCACATCCACAAACCTCATTAATAACCAAATGTCGAAAAACATATATAGGACTTTTTAGGTAATAACCCACACAAGTGACACAACATGCCTTATATAAAGAAAACTGTTGATCTTTATTGCAAATCAATATGATTCCATAAAATCAATACTCAAAAAGAGCCATATGTGTTATTTATTAATCATCCTGTGCACATCAAGATGTATCATCCTTATCCTCCATGAGTATTATTGTACACATCCAAATGTTTGTTCGATTGTAACATATACTCTCAATACCACAAATATTCTCAACGCGTCTAAGAATATTTGTGATATTGAGAGTGTATGTTACAATCTAACAAACATTTTGATGTGTACAATAATACTCATACGGGACAAGGATGATGCATCTTGATGTGAACAGGGTGAAATTTTGGAAAAAACTACTTGTCCAAGGACTAAAGCGGGTGCCGAATCTACTTGTCCCTCATGACAATCTACTTGTCCTGATACAAAAAAAATTATGTTAACCAAACCGTATTTAGCAGTGCTAAGAAGCGCTTATCATTGGTCAATGCCGTCAGGTGACCGCGTTGACCAAGTGCTTGCAATTTGCGAGCGAAATTCAGAATACATGGAACAGGTACAGATAGTACACCCGTACTGGTGGACGGGAAAGGACCGGTCACCAAAAGGTAAGTATAGTGGGAGGGAGATATGTGCGGGTAATTCCTTTTTCCCAAATTACTTGGGAAAGTGAATATACCCCTAGGGTTTATTATTGAAAAAATTGACAACTTTTTCAATAATCGATTATAATCGATTATGTCGATTAGTTATTGCAGCCCTACTCTCGACGCTCGTTTAAAAAAAGTAAAGCCAGCCCTGCTACTTGTCCGTAGCAGGGCTAAGACAGTGAGAAAACCACTTGCCCGGCGTCCGGAACTACATGTCCCGGGCGTCGGGCGATACGAATTCCACACCCCTGAGAACACATATGACCATGTTTTGTATTGATTTTTGGGAATCATATTGATTTGTAATAATAAAGGTTTTTATTAAGGCCGTTTCTGTGGGTTGGTACCTAAAAACTGAACTGAGTTTTTTGAGATTTTGTTATTAATAAATGGAACTGCTACACTATGTTGGTGCGCTCTTCCAGCTCTCAAGGTGCCCATACACTTTACAACCCTCGCAAGACTTTTGTCTTGCGAGGGTTGTAAAGTAATTAAAAAAAACGTATGATCTGCCCATCTTGGACAGGCAGATCGTACTTGCGATCATCGCAAAGCCCGCCCCACTGAGGGGTGGGCTTCCGATGACTGCAATGCTGAACAGGCAGTGCGCACACCGGCCCATTCGGCAGTTATCTCTCGATCATGCTAAAAGCCAGCCGAAAATCGTACGATTCTCGGCTGGTTTTCCAACATGCTCGAAATACAAAAGTCGTGCGACCGTACAGTAGAAACGGTTGAGGTGTGTGTGTATATGTAGCTATTTGTCTGAAGCTCCATTTTTTTCTTCTGATAGCTAAATATTTATCTTTCTTTCAGATTCAGAGAAAGGAGGAAAAGTCGTTACCTGTATCCTCAGATGATATTCCCATTTCCATTACAGATGTAGTAATCTAGATATTTTACAATAAATTATATTAATGTAGGTTTTCATTGAGATGTTTATAAATTTATTTTTCAACTTTTTAGGTACTAAAAGCACAGGCCAGATTGACTACTTTTTATGGTGCGTTTGGGCCAGATAAATTCAGGTTAGTGTTTAATACACAAACATGTACAGTAAACTCCCCGTAATCCGGCATCCACAGGGATTGGTAGATTCCGGATAAATGTAGTTTCTGGTTGCTTGAGAATTAGTATTAAAATATGTCTAACTAATGCCATACCCCATACTATACCATAACATAAAGTCGGTATTGACTTCATATTAATATTGAAATGCAGTAATCAAAAGCAAATTAGGACAAATAGACATACGATCATTTCCAGGGCAATGCATGCCGCAGAACAGTGAGTACACAGGGGATTTTTTTTCTGGTTGGATCAGAGTTCTGGCTAGTTAAATACCAGATAACTGAGAGTTTACTATATAAAAAATAAAAGTGACACTAAGCTTAGGAATTAAATCTTATTCTCACTAATTCATGCTGACACTGTCCTTCCTTCTGGAGGGGGATACATTTGTTCCTATGGTCCCTGTTTATGTTGTAAAGTAGCCACCATTCCTAGCTTGCTCCTGTAATGGACTACCATCTCATGTTTAGTTTACTAATTTGTATTAAAGTTATAGCCCATCACAGGAGTGAGATTGGAGCGGTGGCTGCTTTACTACAACACACACACGGGGAGCAAAAGTAGCCACCCTCCATAAGGAAGGCCATTGTCAGTATGAATTCAGAGATGATTTGAGGATCTACAGCCGAGTGATACACAAATAAGATACATTTTGTTAATAGTTAAGGTACCTGAATGCATTTTTAAGATTTAACTCCTGAGTTTAGTTTCACTTAAAACATTTCCTTTTGATTTATTTTTCTTTTCTGCTTAAGTGGAATTGCATGGATAGAGTTCTTAAACAACAGTGATGTGCTGAAAGACATCTTCTATCAGTTGGAAGAGAGAAATTTGTCGTGTGCACAGTATCTGTGGCTGAGACATCAGGTAAACTAAACTGTAGTATGCACTTTGACTATATTGACATTTTCCTTCTTCCTTCATGTAACAGCTCTCTGTTGTGATTTTATAGTTTTCACTTTCAACTCCACTTGCTGGTTAAAATTTGCCTTAGCGCTAGTTACACCGGCCACAGTGCGATCTGGCACGATATGAGCAGACCGGAACGCAGGCATTGATGTGCCATGCGTTCCCGTGCGGCCGATCGCACTGCGACCAGAGGGCATCCCTGCGGTGCCCTCCTACCCCACAACAAACTGAGCCGACTGCAATGCAATCCAGTGCGTTCTGGCCCCAAACGGGCCAGAACGCACTGTAGCTGGTGTGAACTAGCCCTTAAAGACATTAGTTATTGTTACTCAGATAGGAAGACCGAAATTAAAAATCCCCATGTCAGTTTTACGAAAAAGCATTTTATTGAACTGCTTCCTGTCCGGCTGTTCTATATAAACAACTGGCTGGGAGCTTCTTGAATGCGGGTGGGTGTTTTAAAACAAGGCACCGCACAAGTGGGAAACTGTCACTATTTGAAAACAGCCAGCGATGTTTACAAACAGTAATCTAAAATAACTTGCGCTAATGGAATTAATAAAGGTGGGTAGATAGGGTTTACAATTTAAAATTAATATTAATATGACCATAAGGTTAAAATTCCATAAAAAATTCCTAAAAACACAGACAGCCGCCCGATCGCTTGTATGTGGTGCCAATTGGTGCGTCCCCATCCCCCCTCCTTGCCACTGCTGGTCCGGAGCTTCGCTGTGCTCTGTGATGGCCCGGAACCTGCAGACGGCTCGGTGACCAAAGATCAGAGGTAGTTCAGCACACAATCTCCCTTTGATCTCCTGTCCAGTGTCAGAATGCAGGAAGTGATGTGTATTCTAAACATAAACCAATACTGTAATGTGCGCCTTACAGTAATCCATGGTAGTTTCCCTTCTCTTTGCTGTTCTTCCTTTTAAATCCTCATGCCTTCTCATGCTTGGGGAGAACTTCCCTTTGCAGCCCAGGGAATATGTTTAAGAATAAAGCTGCTGTGTGAGGAGCAAATAGTTTCTCATTCTATCTCCCACACTGACTGCCTTTAGGCAATCCCTTAAAGTGACATTAAACCCTCAGATTTTTTAACATAAACCAATACTGTAATGTGTGCCTTACTGTAATCCATGGTTGTTTCCCTTCTCTTTGCTTCTCTTCCTTTTAAATCCTCATGTCTTCTCATGCTTGGGGAGAACTTCCCTTTTCAGCTCAGGGCCTCTTCCTGTAGGGCTGGCTCAGGTTACAAGCCTATACAAACGTATACACAGACACCGTGTATCGATTCCTGAGACAAGGCAGTCTGCTGCAAAACAGAAGTTCTGCAGAGCATGAGAACAGATATAGATTTAAAAGGAAGCGCAGCAAAGAGAAGGGAAACAACCATGGATTACAGTAACGCACACATTACAGTATTGTTTTATGTTAAAAAATCTGAGGGTTTAATGTCACTTTATGTGAAAAAAAAGTTTAAAAATGTAAAGTTACAAGAAAAAGAATGTCACATATTTAAAAACAAAACAAAATGTTTTCTTTAAAGTCCCCCGCCCCCACATACACGCACAAACATGCATCAACTGCGCCTATGTGTGAAAATTACAATGCCACACATGCTACATATCACCGCGAACGTTCAAGTGCAAGCAATAATTCTAGGGCCATTAATCACTGATGACACCAAATTGATGACCGGTAAAAGCTGCAAAGCGTCACCTATGGGAAATTTGGGGTATGGTCGGTTTTTGCGATTTCGCGGGCATGTACCGTATATGCAGGCGTATAAGACGGGTTTTTAGACCCAAAAAAACTGCCTGAAAATCGGGTGTCATCTTATACGCCGGGTATACTGTATGTAGCTCCGGCTACATAAAGTATACCGCGCTGAGCCAATCACGGCATGCTTTGTATTCATTAATACAAAGCCTGTATTAATTAATACAAAGCCTGCCGTGATTTGGGTAATACATGTTTCATAACATAACGTAGGTAAAACTTTTTGTTGGTACTTTTTCCATTATATAGTAAAAAATTAAATTTCTACGTGTCTCTAAAAAATGGTATAAAATGAATTTCAGTACAGCGTTGCATGACAGAATAAATGTCAGTCAAAGTTCTGCAGCGCTGAATACTGAAAAATGGCCTGGACAGGAAGGGTGTAAACACCTGGTCATCAAGTGGTTAAGTGTGTGTCCACACTGGGGCTAATTCCTGACAAGAAGGGAGGGGCTAGTCTCTCTGGTGGGTTTAGAGATTGCACTAAAAAGAGGATTTATTCCTTCCCCAGAATGTTAAAAAATAGGAAAAGAAAAGGTTTGACTGGTGTTTTTGGCTAAGGGCCCATTTACACTTCTGTGGTCTAGTAAGTAACACTAGGACAGTCCAATCATTTTAAATATGCTGGTCAGGCACCACACCACAGATAAAATCTAACGCGTACCTTTTTTTTTTTTTTTTTGCAATGCAGTGCATGACCTAGTGTGTTATTGTGCATTGTAGTGCAAAGTAAGTTGGGTACATGGGCGTCCACTAAGAATTAATAGAACATCATTACACTAACGCACATTAGTGTACCTCAGGAGGGTGAATGGGCCCTAAAGCTGAATTCCAGGAATGAAAAGCAGCATAAATGATGTGATTATGTCATGCCCCGTGTTTCTGAGGGAATGTATTCTTAACAGCTCAGCCCATTCTGTGGTAAGTAGGAGCAGAGACACTTTATGTAGAAAATGAAGCTGTATTATGGTGAAAGGAGGAGGCATTTGTGTTTATAATGCACTCTTCTTTTTTTTTCCCCCCCCCTAGGAGGAATTTGAAAGCAAGTTTGATGAGAAGATTCTTGAGAAACTCCTTAGCATAATTCCTGCAAATATTCCTTCACAAAAATTGTGCCTCTGGTTTAAAAACATATTGATTCCATTTGTGAGAAGAATTGTGCCAAAAGGACACGTATGTTGATCAGTCTTGTATAGCAGCATTTTAGAAATACCCCACTATTCCTTAGAGGTAAATTTATTTTGTGTTGAGGGAAAAAAAACCCTTTCCATACATTCCAAGGGTTTTACAGATTCTCATATAATGTCATCAAAATTAAATAGAAAAAAATTGACGATTCCAGAACGGAGAGGTGATGTAACAAACAATGCTAGAAGTGTGAAAGTATGACAGCAGGCATTATGTGCAGAAGACACTTCAGTAGGGTATGACTGTGGACTACATGTGCAGAAGAGGAATTTGTATACTATGATAATGACAACATGTACAGTAGAGAAGTGGGAGGGTATGAGAACAGGCAAAACAGTTAATCTTTTAAGTTAACAAATGATAATTACCTTTGTCGTCAATTAAGTCAATTAATCTTAATTGGCTAGAAAATCACACAAAAAATTTCATAATAGCCATATAAGTGAATTGCAGTGTTATGAAAATGCGCCCCATAATGCATTTAGCACCCATTCCCAAAACTAAGTAATTAAGATGTATGGGCACTGAGCTCTTCACACGGGGGTTTACAGAGAACGGACAGTGGTCAAAACCTGTGTTTAGGAAATGGGCCTTTTTAAAATTGAAGCAGGTTATTCTGGAAACATGCAGATGGAAAAGTAGTCGCCAAAATTGAAGCAGGTTATTTGCAGGGACTGGATCAAGAAGTCTAGGAACAAAGGAGATGGCACTGGGAACTAAGGTGATGAGGCAGGGCTTTGTTGTTTAGGCAAGAGGTAGAGGTGGAGCTGAGATTACTATTAAAAAAGGGATTGAGGAGATCTGACTTATTTTGCTTGGTACATTGAAATGTAGTGATTGTCACACATGCACTGTAGAGTGCGTGCTATAGGGTTAGCGATGAGGTGTTAAGACGTTATTACACAAGTGCTGGTAACTAACCACTGAGGGATTATCAGAGGACTGTCGTTAAGGGGTTAATGCTCATGGGCTGGAAATAAGTCAGTGTATTGCACACACATTCTCTCTGCATACTCATCACTGAGCGTTAATGCATATGCTCTTGAAGCTGATCACTGTGTGGGAAATGCACATACTACAGATAGGTCACTTTAGGGGCTTATTCTGAGGCTAAGGGAACTGAGGGGTTAATGCCCATTTTGTGGGAGCTCAGCACTGAGGGGTTATACATGTTTACTGCAGACGTTTACTCTCTACTAGAAATGATGTGTTCTAGAGGAGGGATACAGCAGGAGAAAGACCAGTGTGTGTGCAGGGTGTAGTATCATACTGAGAAGAACACCGATCTGTGTGTTAGGGTCAACACACACATTACAATCTTACTGTACAATTTTTGTAAAATCGACTTTAGATTTACCAAATCTATGTTATGTAAGGACCTACCTAATCTATCCAATTTGTTTCCAGTCAGGAAGGCCCTTCTACTACATAGTTGTTGGTCGATCTAAAGGAGATTGTACAATCAGATTGTAAGGTGTGGTGAGCTTTAGAGGTGGAATCTCACTGGGGAAAGATCAAAAGGAGGCAGATTCCCACAGCGACAAAGTGAAAGTACAACCTACTCATTTATATAGGATAGGATTAGTCACCTATTAAACATGAGGTCACAGTAAGGTGTATGGCATTTGTGTTTTTTTAAATAAATTATTGTATAGTTTACTTTTTGAGCGCTACCATGAAACGTACCAAACTCTTGATTATTTCCCCCTGTAGAGAATTATTGCAAAATGGCTGGAGCATAGAGCTCGATCTCTAGAACTAACAGATAAGGTAAGTCTGAAACCATTTCCTTGCCATGTACCCTGAAAACAATTAAACAGTTGCAGCCAAGAGCATCTCCTGATCTTGCTGCTGATTAAACTTCAGCCTGTCTGTTTCCTTTATGCTTGCATTCGTTCTTTGTCTTATTTTCTTCCCCTGATTCCATATACAAAACAGCTGTTTTGGAGGTCCAAGTGAACGAGGCAATTTTTAAAGGGTTGGTCTATCCATAAGTGAAGCTTCAATTTTTGGTAGATGCTGAGGATTTAAACAACTGATCATATGTCTTTTGAGGACTATAATTAGATTGTTGTGTTTGTGTTCCTCAGTCAGTCTCAGTCTGACAATTATAATTATAGTGCTTTGCTGTAACCATTATGAGGGGGTCTCACCCTCCCTGTTTTTTTCTAATTTTATATTTTGTTGTGAAGACTCCAGTGGAATAAGCTGTAGTATGCAAGGGAATAAGGAGACTCCAAGGAGACCAAGAACTGTGCTAGGGAGCTCTCACATCTGGAGTACCCTATTAGAAACCAGAAGCTGACTCAGCTGCACCAACTAAAATTTCACTTTTGGAATGACTGGCCATTCAAGGCGATATCATTAATTGCTAACTGCAGTTATGTCATGATATGCTAAGAAATCATTAGTTAAGTTCCTGATCAACGTGCCTTATGCCTTGAAAACTTGCAGAGGTGTTCACTGTAGCTCTCAATAAATCTGTCACTATGTTGGCTTCACATGGTAAAAGCAATCCACTCTTGTACCTCTTTTACTCGATTTGAGTTCTTTTCTTCATTTTAATACTGTATATGTGAGGCAAAATATGACCTAGTTCTCAACTCTGTGCACTCATGCACTTTAATTCCTTATCACTGTATGCAGTTTGTCTGAAACATGTAAAACTAAAAATTGCTTTTGTTTTTCAAAATGCTTTTTTTTGAAAGGCGAACTGGCCAGAAAACGGGCATGAGATGGCGAATGTATATTTTACATCAAAGAATCCTACAGAGCTTGGCATTGCCTCTTCTTGGCTGTGGATCCCTCTGGTGAGTGAAACCTGCTCTGCACACTTTTGTATCACTGCTCTTTGAATACAGTGAGGGGAATTTATCAAAACTGGAGCAGACAAAATCTGGAGCAGTTTTGCCTGGCAACCAATCAGCTTCTCTCCTTTTATTTTCAAATCCTGACTGAACAAACTGAATAGAGAAGCTAATTGGTTGCCATGCATAGCTGCTCCAGATTTTGTCTGCTCCAGTTTTGATAAATCCCCCCCAGTATGTCCAACTGTGTGTGCTCTTTTATGGTTTAGACTACAGTAGTTTGAAAAATAAGTTCTGTTTCCATTTATTTTGAAGTAGAACATAAGACCTCCCCTCTGCATCTCAATTTCTTTCTTAGTACATCTTTATGGATATACTAGCACCCTTTTTTCCAGAATCCTTTCCCCATACTTATGTTAATCCAGCCCCATCCTCGGACTCGTAACACACCATGCTATAAGGATACTTGCCTGGAATCTTAAATCAAAATTCTAGATTTAGAATATGGAAGCTTAACAATCATAAAATGCCATCAGCGTACTGGTCCTTACCTTACCCTGTTGTACCTTATTTTATGCTGGCCTTTAAGATACTTCTTGCATTGTAGCTTACTTTGTTAATTGAAACAAAAACATTCATCCAAAACAAGCTTATGATTACCGTTTCTATGTTTTTATTGAAGAAAGAAGACTCTGACTGTGAGGAAGTCCAGCAGCTGATGAAGCTTGTCACCAGCCTCCAGGAGTTGATGGAACTATATATTATATATATTTTTGATATTTCCCTTTACATTTTAGGAAACTACAACTACAATTGTGTTTCGTATGTTGGATAAAGTCTTGGCTCCTGAGCTTATTCCATCCACTTTAGAAAAGTTTATTAGACCATATATGCATCAGCATAACCTAAATGAAGAAGAACTTCTACTTCAGTACATTAAGGTAAATGAATTGACAAATTGTTTTAAGTGGTTTTGTTTTTCCCCTAGATATTCCTTTTTTCTTCCTCTCTTGCAACAATAGGGAACAAGTGTCTCCTGGACAAGGTTTTTAATTCAAATTAAAGAGATTCAAATCTCATCCCCCTTTTAGGTTTCTGCAGAGTACAAAAGTATTTAGTCAGTACTGGGCATAGCTTTAACTTTTCGTATTGCTCTTCAGAAAAGTGATAAAACTTCAGCTTTTATGTGAATACATTATGGTATGAAGCAGTTTTATTGCAAAATCGCTTGGAGCTGAACTCAAGGGAACTGTAAACTACCATTGCAAGGACTTTTACTTAGCTTCTCCTTCACTTCCGTGGCAGCCAGTGCTCACCTCTTCCCTCTGGGTTGTGGCTGGGACCTCAGCATCCTCACTTACAATGCAGGGCTGTTGGCATGCATTGCATGTTATAACATCACAGCTGTGACTACTGGACAGAACACCAAAGAACAGAGGCCTGTGGGGACTGGTCACATGGAGGGAGGAGCCTGTGGTAACAGAAGATATGTTAAGTAAATGTACTTTCTTGATCATACATTACAGGACACAGAAGACATATTAAGAAACATTGGGTTATGTTGCCAGGAGTTTAGACACTGTCAAAACAAAGCTTTACGGACATCCCAGTATAATCCCTCCCACTCCCACCATGCCCAAGTTTTTTGCTTGTATCCTTAGGAGAATGGACACCTTTTTTTCTGCCTTGAGAAGCAAACCATTTCTTTTTATGTTCTTTTCTTCAAAATATTTCTCCTAGCACAATTCTTCATTTTCTGTAGGGCCACTGGTACCCCTTCCTGAATGAACCTGGTAACTGAGGACTCTTTAGGGTGTATGCCCAACACAGTGAAGACTGTCTTGATGTGGTTATGCCTCACTTAATCGTTCTGCGTGGGTGATTTGCGGTACGTGGTGGCTGTTAATGTACTTTACCTGATCTTAAGAGTTAATCCCTTGCAGTTCTGGTGCTTTGACTTTGGTCACTGCGCTTGGTGTTGTGATGGTCTCTTGGGTCACAAGTGCCTAAGAGTGTACTAGTGGTCTCTAGTTGCAGTGGGTATAGAAAAGAATCAGCCCCCTTTAAAATAATAATCATATTTTGTTGCTTTGCAGCCTGAAATGAAGACGGCCACAGTGTTTTATCCAGCTGTATTTACTCAGTGCAACTTATAACATCCAAGTGAAGGATATAACACCGACATGTCAGATAAAATTCAACAGAATCACCAAGTTGTAAAAAGGATCACCCCCATGTGTCAGTATTTTGTTGAACCACCTCTTGCTTTAATTACAGCCTTTAGTCTGTTGGGATATGTCTCTTCTAACTTTGCACATCTAGACTTTGCAATATTTGCTCACTCTTCTTTGCAGAACTGCTCAAGTTCAGTTAAATTTGATGTTGACCATTTGTGGACTGCAGTCTTTAAGTCATTCCACAGATTTTCATTGGGGTTTAAGTCTGGGCTCTGACTAGGCCATGCAAGGACATTCACATTTTTCTCCTTCAACCACTGTGTGGTCATTTTTGCTGTGTGCTTTGGGTCATTGTCATGTTGGAAGGTAAACCTTCTTCCCATTGACCACTTTCTGGCAGATGGCAGCAGATTTTCCTCAAGGATTTGATGGTATTTTGCCCCATCCATTTTTCCTTCTATCCTGACAAGTGCTCCATTCCCTGCTGTAGAGAAACACTCCTATAACAGGATATTATCACCTCCATGCTTTAATGTGGGAATGGTGGTATTTGGATGGTGAGCTGTATTGGATTTCTGACAGACATATTGTTTGGTGTTGAGGCCAAACAATTCAATTTTAGTCTCATGTGACCATAATATCTTTTTCCATGTGTCCTCAGAATCTTCAAGGCACGTTTTGGCAAAGCTCAGTCATGACTGCATGTGACCTTTCTTTAGAAGTGGCTTTTTTCTTGTAACCCTCCCATACAAGCCACATCATAAATTCCTGCAACTGCTTCAGAGTTGCTGTAGGCCTCTTGGTAGCCTCTCTGACCAGTTTCCTCCTGGCTCTTTCATCCAGTTTGGAGCGATGTCCTAATCCAGGTAAGGGTCCATGTTGTACCAAATACCTTCCTCTTAATAATAGAATTCACTTTACTTATAGGCATTAATAAAGTATTTGAATTTTTTTTGTATCCATCTCCTGACTTGTGCCTGTCCACAACTTTATCCCAGAGATCTTTTGACAGTGACTTGCCATCCATAGTTGATTGTTTGCTTTAATTGCACTACCAGGGACTGAAATCTATCCAGTCCTTTAAATCTTCATTAGTTCCATCCAGAATAAAACCCTTCTCTTGTCCAGCATGAAAATATTCACAACTATGTCAGTTTTTAGGCAAAGAGAATCACTGCCGTTGTTGTTGAATCCGTATGCAGGGGCTGCAAGCATTTGCATACACCCTCTCCTTCAGAGGTTCTGAGGCTGCTGCAGCTGCCTCTGCACACTCAACTGAGGACAAGGAAAAATCGCCTGTCCTGCATGGTTGAATTTTTTTTTTTTTGCTGGAGGAGTTTCAGTCCTCTGAATTAATTCCCATGTTAAATGAACCTATATCCATACTTGTGGGCACATTACGCACAGGCCTAGAGCTGGAGCAGCTTGCATTTCAATGTTCTAAGGTTACTGGTCTGAACTTCCTTAAAAGCCCCCAACCAGGGAAAATCTTTCTAGCACATGTGCTACTACAGTTCGTTTTATGTTCTGCTTGGTTCTTTTCTGACAAGCTATTTTTCCCCTCCCAAGTGTTTGCCAAGTAGTACCCTATGGAGAAGGCATTGTTGAGAAGTGGGCCCTCCCTTGACCCAATCCTTTCTTGCCTCAATGGACTCCTGACTGTCCATGTTGAGGGCATTCCACTATTTAAGGACTTAATGGACAAAAGACAGGAAAAAAGAAATTGGTGTTCCTACCTGGAGATCCGACTAATTATACGCCCTAATTCAGGTTTGCATGTTTGCTTATTTAGACTGATCCGTGACCAAACAATCATCAATTTAATGGTGAGAGATGGTTTGAAGGTGATATCTTTATTACATTTTGTTTCTATTAATTTTTCAAATTTAACTTTTTTGCATACCAGCTGTTTGTCCGGATCCCTTAGTTGACCGCTTTTGACTCGTTACCTTTTAACGGGTTAACCTCCCCTTGTTTTCTTTGACAAAAGACTGGAAGCCATTTCTAAGTCTCCTACTAGCAGACCCTGCTCTTCCCCTAAAATCCCAAGATTTGGCAATTGGACATAACCTATGCGAAACTATCTAGTGATTGTTAAATTTTGCATCAGTTTGATCCCTTGCCTTTTGCCCTACACTACTGTGTTGATGGACTTGTAGATATTGTACATCTAATATCCAGAATGAGTCTCCTGTCTGTACATGTGCAGAGGACTCTTTGGCTTAAATGTTGGTTTGCTGAACACAATAAACAATGTTTATTGTGTGTGCCTTTTGAAGGAGAGAGTCACCACTGTGCTTTTTTTTTTTTTAAAGTGACATACTAGTGCGCGTGGTGTCCAGGGGTTACTAGCTAGACATGCTAACAGTACCTCCACCCCACTTCATGCTGTTACGTGTTCCCCCATGTACTTACAAGGATTGGCAGACATTAACACTGCCCTTGCATAATTCCTTATCCAACGAGTCATTGTCATATTTTCTGAGATGGATAGGTTCAAGGTTTCTATCCAAACCTTATCCTCATGCGGAAATGGGCCTTTGCTCCTTTTTGGACTTGGTCAGTCCTTGCTTCCTTCCTCCCTCCATGAGATTTTCTAGCCTCTGTGGATCTCACGTGTCTACCTGCATATCCCTGTCTTCCAGCACATTGATGCTACCTGTGATTGCTATAGGCACGCAACTCTCCTGTATCTCAGGGTTTTACGAAATTGCTATCACCTGTACTAGCCTTGCTATGCTTTCAGTGCATTGTCATACTGCGATATCTGAAAGACCCCTCCTGGTAGATCAGGCCTTAGCAGCCAAGATCCATCCATGAAGGTTCAAGGGAATTGTGAAACTCCAGAAGTTGGCGCTGTAACTGACCCATCGCTTGAAGTATCTGGGTCTCCTAAATACAGCTCAGTACAGGTTTCTTCTGACTCTCTGCTCCTAGATCCAGCCTGGTGTTGCCCAACTCTCTACCCTGTCATGGGAGCCCTGGCCTTGATATTGGCCTCCTTTCATGCAGTCTCTTTTGCACAATTCCAGACCATGACAACTCAACATTCTGGCTGCATGAGGCAAGAAGGTGAATTCTCTGGACAATTTCTTGAGCTTGGCACCCAAGACCAGATTATTCCTGCTTCTGGACATCCCAATGTTCCTGAATAATTGTCCCTCCCCTCTTTTCTGGTTTTTGACTCCTATTATTGCTAATTAAATGGAGGCATGCTGGGAGTGGAAACGGTTACACTGGGCTGTCCTTACTGCTTTGTTTTGCCAGTGTCCAGTCTCCTGAAGGTGGCGGTATAACCCAATGTAATTGAATACTTCTCCTGTGTCCAGTAATATACTTCAAGGAAAAGGATTTTACAGATATGACAAGCATATTGTTTCCTGGTACCCAAACCAAAAACAAGCTATTCTTATTTCTTGCAGACGGTATTTCAGGTGGCAGAAAAGGTATTTCAGTTCCCCAGAGTTCAGCTTTAAGAAAAAAAAACTCTTTAAATATTTAAATTCTTTAAAGATTACACTAGGTGAATGTTATAGGAAAACTGTTATAAGTCAAATTTGTAATCTGCCATCTTTCAGTTACGGACCTTGAAACAGCATCAAGAGAACCAATTTTTACTTTTCTCTAACACTCGGTTTCTGGGTTTTAGAATTGGTTTGTGAAATCCCGGTGACTTCACTAGCTACAAGATTCCAAAGTGGTTGCTTAGTGAGAGATCTGCATGGTACATTATATCACATACTGTTTGCACAGGGTGCTCAGCAGAGTCAGTAGAAGGGGTGGGAGTAAGCAGAACTTGGCTCCACTCAAACTAATTAAGGCAGTGCTTTCTTGGTGATGTCAGCACTGCTTGATGCTGAATGACAAGTAGTCATTGTTGAGAAAGGTTACACTAGATGCAAAAAGGATCTCATCTGAAAGCTATGGAGCTCCCTCTCCTGTGAGGCCAGGTTTACACCTAGGTGATTTGTGACCATGTGGCAATCGTGCACAAAACCGTTTGGATGGCCGCGTCTTCACGGAGTTGCATACCACTGCTGATCGCGCTGGGGGGTGCCATTAAACCCCCTATGTAAAAGCACTTTGGAAATGACAGGTTTCTTTTTAAGGGGTCTATTAGACCCCAAGTGTCATCTTTCCAATTCACTGGGAAATGACAGCTGCCTGGTGAGGCAGCTGAATATAAACACAGCAAGCAGTGCCTGGCAGAGATATCCAGCCTGCTATTGGCTATTTTAAATTGCAATAGCAGGCAAGATATTGCACCCACCCCACTCTCGGCTGTCTATCAGCAGAGGAGGGACCTGAAGGAGATAGTTCTCCTTCAGGTCCTCCCCTGCTGATTGACAGCGGGCGGGTGCAATGGCCAGCTATTGGCTAGTGCAATAGCCAGCTATTGGCTAGTGCAATTTAAAATAACCAATAGCAGGCTGGCTATTGCTCCCAGCTGCTGAATGGGACACTTGTTGCCGGCTTTCTAGGTCCTATACAGCAGTGCTTCCCAACCTTTTTATCGCCGCGGACCGGTCAACGTTTGATAATTTTACCGTGGCCCGCTGAGGGGGGGGGCGTTGATTGTTTGTTTATATTTTAGATTTGTTTTGATTTAATAATTGTAATTTAATTGTATTTAAACATGCCTTCAAAATAAAATACAGTTACACCAAAAAATGAAAGCGTTGGAGTTGTTCACCTATTCGTGCCCGTCGGCAGTGCGGGGCCCCGGTGTTCGAACACCGGGACCCTGCACTGCCCCATATTGCAGGACCGGACCGCACTGAGACTGTGCGGCCCGGTACCATTTGATCCGCGGACCGGGGGTTGGGGAACACTGCTATACAGCAACTGGGAGCCGGTGAATGGGAAGAGGGGGCGGCAGAGACGCTGCAGGGGAAGGGGGCAGCTAGAAGGCAAAGGTGCAGCGGTGGGCAGGGCACATCAGCTGACTACTCTCTCTCCTACCCGCTGGGGGCCGTCTGGAGCAGTCCGATCCTCGCTGCCAACACATGTGTGGAGAGCAGTGGTGATTGAAGGGAACACAGATCACTGCAGCCAATGCCCAGCAGGCAGGAGGACGGGAGAGCAGAGCTGATTGTGGCAGCAGAGAAACGGACGCAGCGGCGGGGGACAGTGAACGGGCTGACAAAAGCCAAGATGCAATTTTTAGTCGCCTTGGCAACCTGGCGCCTGGGATTAGTCTATCCCTGCCTTAAGTCTGAATGTTTAATACAAAAAAAAAAGTAAAGTTTTTCATGAAATTCACAAATTGTATATTTTATTTTGTACCTATTCTTTAGGATATGTTAGAGCATTGCAGCTCTCGTTCTGCATCACTGTTTGAAACTGCTTGGGAGGCAAAGGCTATGGCTGTGGTTGGGTGCATGACCGATACAGATGTAAGTAAACCCATCTATTTCACTCACATATTTGAAAATGCTTTGGTTTGTTTTTTCTTTAAAGGTCCAACAAATTTGGTTTGTAAGTACACTGCTTTATGTAGTCATCTGCATTTTGTATTCTTCAAGGGAAATTGCATTTGTTTCTTTTTCATTGAGGGACAAAACAAATCTTTAGCTTATACTGCTGCCTACAGGATGATTTGGACGTTGGCGAACAAAATAACTATAGGACATAACCCCTCCCACTACCAGCATTTTCTAGTGTTCTCACAGGATGGCTGTGTTTTGTTCAGCTTAGTTGTGTGTAAAGATGAATCTGTTTTTGCTAGCACCCTTTTTTTCATATTGGTAAAATGTTTTTCTTCAAGTCTTTTCTCTGCATCACTGCTAGAGCTTGTCCATTTGATTGCAGCCATCCAGCAAGGTTGTCCTCTGCCTTGATTTTGTAGTGCCACATGTGGACCTTCGGGCACTTCTGTGAGGGCAGAGTTAGGGGTTGGGCCGGTGTTGGCAGCCATATTAACTATTGGCACAGCTTGCGGCCATCTGCAGCCATTGTATTATGGGTGAGGGTTGTGATGGATGGGTACTGGCTGATGAAATGCTGCCCAGTACCCTTTTGGAGGGAGATCTTTTTCTGCTGAGATGCAGGGAGTGCTCAGTGCTCCTTCTCAGCCTACAGCTGGATGGATAGGGGATCTGCCCAGGATTAATGGAGTCAGTTTAATCCCTCCTTCCAGTAGTTGTGCTGTCGGATGCCTCATGTGGCTATGCTGAGGATTCTGGCACTTCCGCCCACTTGACCGCGTGACATATAATGCCACTTCTGGTAGGGGAAACCTGGTTTCTGGGTGCTGGAGGCTCTGTGCTCCAAGCCTCTTTCTGGCGCAGAGGAAGGGGAGGGGCTTAGGCGATACTTCAGTCGCCACTGATTCCCATCATAGGATGTGAGGACTCCGACGGAGGAGGACGTGTTGCTGACGATGGATTAATTGCAGGCTCCTGTGGACAACTACCAGTACCGCTTCTGCTCATGTAAATGGTGTTGTTTTTATTCCGGTTATTAAAGTGACATTAAACCCTCAGATTTTTTAACATAAACCAATACTGTAATGTGTGCCTTACTGTAATCCATGGTTGTTTCCCTTCTCTTTGCTGCTCTTCCTTTTAAATCCTCATGTCTTCTCATGCTTGGGGAGAACTTCCCTTTTCAGCTCAGGGCCTCTTCCTGTAGTGCTGGCTCAGGTTACAAGCCTATACAAATCTATACACAGACACCGTGTATCCATTCCTGAGACAAGGCAGTCTGCTGCAAAACAGAAGTTCTGCAGAGCATGAGAACAGATACAGATTTATAAGGAAGAGCAGCAAAGAGAAGGGAAACAACCATGGATTACAGTATTGTTTTATGTTAAAAAATCTGAGGGTTTAATGTCACTTTAACTGGGCTTTTGTTGTGCTGCTTCTCTCACCGTGAGCTCCTTTTCATGTTGGGCTCTCTTGGTGTCGTGATCACTGGTTGTCTCTGGTGGTGATTTATGAGGACAAGTTCTCATGTTGGAGGAGCTTTTCACTTAATATCTTGCAGGCCAAGCCCCTGGACACAGCTAAAAGTCTGCCCAGGAGGAAGTGTGCGGCATGCTAAGTGCATTGCTGCTTATTCCAAGCCCTTATGTCAAGCCTGTTTCAGCAGTTTATTTAACCAGTTGACATCCGCGGTGATAAACCCCCTTCCCATCCAGGCCATTTTTCAGTATTCAGCGCTGCGGTACTTTGACTGACATTTATTCCGTCATGCAGCGCTGTACTGAAATGAATTTTATACCCTTTTTTGGGGACACATAGAGCTTTCTTTTGGTGGTATTTATTCACCACTGGGGTTTTTATTTTTTTATATATTAAGGAAAAATTACAGATTTTTAAAAAAAAAAACAGTTTCCCCTATATTAAATTCTAAAACATTTATAATTTCCCAATTTTTTGGTAAAATATAAAAGACGGGGTCTAGTCGGGTAAAGAGACACCAAACATGTCAAGACTTAAAATTGCGCACGCCAGCGAAACCTCAAAAAAACTAAATTACCCAAAATTGGCCATAGGCGACGCATTAAAAGCTTTTACCGCTCATCAGTTTAGTGTTATCAGTGATTGATGGCCCTAAAATGATTGCTCTCACTGCGACGTTCGCGGCGATATGTAACATGTGTAGCGCAATTGTCATTTTCGCGTGCTGGCGCATGCGACGCATATTTACGTTTAAATGTGCGTAAACTAAGGTGGGGGGACTTAAACATTTGGGGGGGTCACCTGGAGACCCCAAAAGAAGCTGATGAAGCACAGATTTGCTTCATCAGCTTCTTCTATCTGGCATAGGAGCCAGATGACTGACAGGTGAATGCGGAAGTGATGTAATACACATCACTTCTGCATTCACACTACGGAGGGAGAACAGCAAGGAGGCAGCGGATGGGGGCAATGGGGCAGCGGATCCCGGGATTAAAGGTGAGGGGTCAGGAGGGCGGAGATGGCGGCACCCGCGATCGCGCGGTGGGGGCCTCCGAAATTCACGCCATACAACCGATCGGTTGTATGTGAAACAGCCGTTAACGGCTGTAGTAACAAGCGGGTCTTTCCTGCCCGTGCGCGTGAGCAGGAAAAAAATGCCGTCTAGCGACGGCAACCCGCAGATAGGAGTCAGCCGTCCGTCCGTTTTTTCTTAACGGGCGGACGGCATGAGGTTAAGGAAGAATTTGCTAGTGCCTGTAATAGTGTTTTGGCATTGGGAAAGGAAGAACTGTCACTCACCTTTCACTCTTTCAAGGGGTCTCAGCTCCAGCTGAGACCCCTTCTGTGTCTAAGGCTGGGTTCACACCTGGGCTTACGGAATATGCACGTTTGACGCACGGTTTTACCGCGATTTGCGGTTAAAAAAATGTGCGACAAACGCGCGTTTCCGAGGGCTACCTGGCTGTATCCCAATGGAAACGCGCGGCAAATATGCCCCAAAGAAGCTCCTGTACTTCTTTGGGCGTAGGGCGTTTTGCAGCGGATTCCTACGCGCTGTAAAACGCCCAGGTGGGAACCATGCCCATAGGCAATCATTGGTTTTAACATGTTGAGCGTTTTACAAAGCGTAGGAACGCGCTGTAAAACGCCCAGGTGTGAACCAGGCCTTAGTTCTCTGCTTTCCTGCCTTAAGTTGCTGGGGGAAGTTATTAACAAGCTGACCGAGTTGGGTGAGTTTAGTGAAGCTGGTCCTTCGAAGAACGATTCTTTGTCAGAGGAAGATGGTTCTCAGGACGAATCTTCCTCTAAGATTTAAATTATCTCGGGAAGATGTGGATGATTTTGTTTTATACAATTTATGAAAAGGACAAGTTTCAGCTTTCCACACATGATCTTATGTACCGAGGGTTGCAAGAAGGAAGTCTCATGCTTTTCATGTTCACAAGGTCCTTAGTGATTCTATCCTTGAATGGTTGGCGCCAGAAAAGATACCTTTCTTACATAATAGTCTGAAGAGGATTTACCCTTTTGATGATCCAGCCTTGGTCTGGAACAAAAGTCCTAAGATGGACACTCCTCTTTCAAGTTTCTAAGAGCTCTGACCTTGCCTTGAGGCAATAGGGGTTCTAAAAGATGCTATGGATAAGAAAGTGGATGTACTGCTTAGAAGGGCTTGGGACTCTATCATATTGGTATTGGCTATTGCAGTTTGAATTGGCCCATAGCAGGCTGGCTATTGCACCAACCCACTACCTTCTATATTTACATTCAGCTGCCGTCTGCGGAATCTTGCCACTGGCAGCTGTCATTCCCTGGCTGAATCTATTCAAGCTCCATCTGCTTACAATGCAATTTATAAAAAAAAAATATTTAAAAAGGCGGAAAAAAAGTAATTTTCGGTTTCAGCCTAATACATTCTGCTGCTGGAGGTCCGTTGCAGTGCCATTAAGTTCAATGGCACCCCAAACACACCTCCCACCCACATTGTGATCGTCCGTACTGGAACGCACAGTACCGCAATGCCATGCGTTACAGTGCAGTGCGATTGCAAAAAATTGTGCATGCAGTTTTATTCTGAAGTAAATGTTATGTTTATAACACTGCATCTGTGCATTTTAAATTAAGGATTTTATGTATTTATTTTACCCGATAAATCAATTAAAAAAAAAAAAATATCGGCCAACTAATCAATTATGAAAATAATATTTTTTGCACCCCTAATTGGCAGTCAAGATCAGGATTCATCACTTTCAGTTCAGAGCCCTTTCCTTCACTCTCTCATCTGCCCCACTGATATTTTCCAAAGTCCTGGGAAAGGCCCTGGCGCCCCTGAAACTTTGAGAAATCAGTATTGTTCCTTATCTTGATGATCTTCTAGTGACCGCCTCTTCACCAGACCTATTGTCAGGAGATCTGGAGTTTATGCAGGTATGGCTGCAAAGTTTGGGCTGGTTAATCAACAAGTCAAAGTCAAACTTTGTTCCCTCCCAGGCGGTGACATTTCTAGGATACGTTCTGAATACCATAGAGAGGAAGATTTCTCTCTTGGAGATGAAAATACAGAAGATTTATTTGAGTGTGTTGCGGCTCCAGGGTAATAAAGCAATATCCATTAGATACATCATCTCAGTGGTGGGTCCAATGATTTCAGGTTTTCCGGCAGTCCAGTGATCATATTTTCATCAGAGACCCCTGCAAAAATTTCTACTGAGAGTCTGGGATAGTTCTCAAAGCACCTTGGAGGTGACGACCCGTCTTCGAGCAAAGGTAAAACAGAGTCTATGGTGGAGAGTTCAGAGTCGCCTCTCACGGGGGCTTCTGTGGGTGTTTCCCCCTTCAAAGAAATTGACCACAGATGCCAGCACATGCAGTCATGTGTAGGATATTTTGGTTCAGGAGCTACATCCAACTGGAGGGAGCTGAAGGCAGTGCACAAAGCTCTTCTTTCTTTTCAAGATGTAATAAAAGACCATCACTTGCAGGTCCTGTCG